AAAACAAACTCTCAAAGTATACAAAATCGACTCAAATCTTCTTCAACTTCACCACCGATACGTTCTATGATGTTGAGATCAGATTTAGTCAGAGCACATCAAAGCATCATCATCGTCCAAGGGAACAGCAATGGGTAACCAAAAAAAAAAAAAAAAATTGCCACAACAATTCTTACTAGAGAACAAGTCTCACCCCTTAGTTACTTTTTCTTCTCTCATGTTTGCAAAATCCAAATAAAACCATGTGAAGAGACTTGCAATTAAATGGTCAAGACATTTGAATTTGAAATTCAAACATTATACTATGATAAAGTTAGAAAGAGACAAGTCTAGCATAGAGAAATTAACCACAAAACTAAATCCAGCCATTGGATTAATATATGGTCCACAATTTTCCTAAACTAGCACAATCCTATCCAAGCTCTCTAGTCCAATTAACACGTGACATGTGCTCAAGTAATCCACTTCACAGGTTTATTGTCTCCACTTACTGCAAAAATTCCCATCCTATGGTTAGGATTTTGATGATGATGTGGTTAAGTAATCCACGTCACAAGCCTTTTGCTTCATTATTTCTTCTTTCATATGATGTCGTTGAAGGATATAAACAAGAACAAGTTTTTAATTTGGAGCAAAACCTGTCATTTATACATTTGTCACTAATGCTCTGCGAAAGAATGTTATCGTTTTCCATGAAAACCATTAGTCATTGATTAACTATACGCGTCTGTCTCAACATTTTTCTTTTTTCTTTTTTATATATATTATACATTGTCATTTTATTTGAATATAATTATCAATTATTTTACATATGGAAATTATTAATTATTTTACAGTTTTAAGATTTTGTTATTTTATGATAATTTTTGATTGTTGGCTTTGAGTAAAGTTTTGCTTATGGTAGTCCTTTAATGAATATATTAGATAAGGAATTTACTGTAGTATTTTAAAATTTCTTTATAGAATAAGATTCTATTTTATTGTATAAATACGACTACTTGGGTCTTTTGAAGAATTGGATATAATGAAATATAAAAATGGAGTATTCTAATTATGTATCTGAATTGTCGATATTCTACGAAATCAACAAGCATTTGATGTCTAGCTTTTTGGCATTCATAATTAAATCAACATGAATTAGAAGATTGTTAGTGATTTTCGTGTTCTCAAGCTTTTGCGTGCGCACGCTACTTGAAAATTTTATTTTATGTACTTAT